CCGTTTTCATTCAGTATTTCCTTTACACATGAGTATTACTAACTATCCTTAGATGTACGTACCATAAACTGATGCAACAGATCATTCAATAAGTATCAACTAACTAGATCAAATACATTATCGAATATGACAAATAGACTTTTAGTGATTAGATTAGAATATTTTAAAAGACAAAGTATATAAAGAGAAATCGAACGAATCGCCACGTACAATCAACCGCAATCGTCTATATAACTTTTGTATTGTGCTTATTCCAACGAAATTAGATTGCACTATCATTATTATCGATTATCCGAACTTCGTGCTTTAAAAGACTGTACTATACGTTAGTTTTCAACAGGAAAACGTAATTAATAAAAGCCAAAGTGTTCTAGTCCCGGTAGGAGAAGAAACCAATATATCAGCACCGCATTAATTCCTTGATTTTATTATATCAAGCACGTCCTGAGATTTCCCCATTAAAAGAAAGTAGCACGTATTACTTGTTAAGCAGTAAACAATCACAGACCCGATGCAAATTTACGACCACTGAAAAATTTATATCTTTTATTGACGTCAATTGTTACAGCCATTTTCCAAAGTACGCTACAATATTTTTTAACGCAATAAAACAATTACTCTTCACGTTCCCTGTTAAACTGCACCTATAATAGGAAATTGTTACCCTTATAAAACGGTTCTATACTCAATCGATTCATTCCTAAGCTTTAAAAAACATTAGAAAGGAGTGATATTACATAGTTTTTTTTTTTTCGAAAATTCTCACGCCTTAATTTTACAGTTCAAATTTTAATACCTACCCCAGCAATGTCGAATCACAAAATGCAGAAGTCCTGAGCCTGCTTACAGAATAAATTGTGAAAATCATCTGACAAACATCAAACTGACACATGGAAATACTGTAGTTTGCGGAGAAGACAGAGTGCTATCAAGCTAAGGAAACTAACAATATCCAAAGGCGTTATACATTCTGAGAATATCGTTAGGACTTTTCCCACTCATATTACTGCACGTTATACAGTGATGAGTAGATAACGATTCGTATGGTGTGGAGTGACGCTATGATAGCTGGGTACGATTACCCAAACTGTAGATGAAAAGAAATATTTTAGATTCTTTAAAAAAAAAAAAAGAAATATAACATTTTTGCGTAATACTTTCTATTCTGCGCAAAAGGAACTGATGTTCACGTGCTTAATATTCATTAGAACCGAAGAAGATACTCTGCATCGGTGTCCCCGTATTGCGTGCTTAGTCCATTATACATATATATTAGATATATTTATATAGGATCATCCAGTTCAAGTGGACCAGTCAAATTTAACAGTAGTCTCATTAATCTAATAAAAAATACGCCTAAGGGATCTGTCAAAAAGTGAAGAAAGATAAAACAGTCTTTAAACCTTAGACTTTTCGAGTTTTCTATGCCCCTCATGAGTGCAAGAGAGACAGCCTTATGGTCAGCTGTATGGGTAAGACGAGAACATACGCACACATTAACCCAAATATATTTCCTCAGCAGATGTATCTGTCTTCCAAATTGACTGTCGATGCAATTCTTAAATAGCTCGAGAAATTCTCCTGTTCTAAATTTCAGATATTGACAGATCTTAACAGCTGCTAAATTTTGCTGGTACTTTTGGAATGAATTATAGCTGTAATGTAATATATAGCTGTATACCCATAAGAATATTATAATGCTGAGCAAAAATTTATAATTCACTCCTCGACACTCTACCAGATCTCAATTGAAATTGTATAAAATTAGTGTGTAACAATTGCAAAAACAGCTTTTACGTCGTGATCAACGAAGAAAAAAAATACATTCCTGTAATCCATCATTGAACAATGGTGTAAAATTGTACTTGTATTAAAGATGGCTGGGTCTTGTTATCAATTTACTTGTCAATCGAATAACGCAAAAAGAACAAAGAATTTTTATTGAATTTATTTATTTAATACAAATTTGACATTCACACGGTGTAATGCTTTTTTTTGTCTCGCTTGTCGCCATCGTGAACGTGTTCCTCCGGGCGTTCTCGCTCGTTCCTTTACACTATTTTTCATCGTTTTTTTTTTGGTTTGTCAATCTTTTCTTTTATATTTAAAGAGTCTCTTTCTCGCGCGAGAAAGTGAAATATTCGAATATTCCTATGTCCACGTTCGCACGTGCACGCGCTCTAAAAGCGTGCGACGCGAATATATTTCATTTCATTTTTCTTTATTCCTTTCATTCCTTCGTTTCTCATGTCCATCCTCGACCACTGTCGCCTTTGCGAAGTGGTCCAGAGTATAAGCTACGCAAAATTCACGATGTGTAAAGAGAAAATAATCAAAACCCAAAAGTGGGCAGTAACTTTAGAACAAGCAGAAGACGTCACGACGTGACGTGGAGAGCCAAGGATGACGGAAGCAAGTTGAACGAGAGAGAGGGAGAGAGAAAGAGAGAAAGAAGAAATTAATGGAGGAAGAAGTATCGCGAAATTTTATCTCGTGCTACTCGCTGTGTTTCAGCGAAACGATCGTCTTCTACAATTCTCCATTATTTAAATCGTTCCTTCGTACCTCA